TAAAAATATTTTTGAATTCTCCGTTCAATTTAAAACTAATGATCTCTCATGAATTGTTTTCCCTCGATGCGCCATTTTTGAGTAAAAAAATAAAAATCGTTCTATTGTCCGAGAAAATTAATGTAATAATTGCAATTTAGCAATAAATATCTAGTTGCTCTGGAATATGTCACTGGCTTTTGACATATGACAAGTCTCTGTTATTCAAATCTGTTTGCTGTGACATCTTTTTCATTACTTAGTTTTTACAATCCTGTTAATAATGGTGAATTATTCAAATGCACAAATGGCTGAAATGCATTACGTATATGGCCTTACCGACGGTAATGGTGAGCAAGCCAGATGGATTTATCACCAAAGATATCCAGATCGTGCTTTGCCAGATAGTCCAACCTTTTCTAATATTCATCGTCGTCTTGTTGAAACTGGTTCTGTCCGAAAAGGAATATCTGAAGGTAGACCTATAAGTGTGAGAACACCTGAATTTGAGGAAGCAGAGCTGCAGGAACTCGAAGGACAACCTGAAATGAGTACGAGGAAGATCGCTAGACACATAAATATTTGCCATCAAATTGTTTGTAGAATTTTAGTACATTTTTTGTTATATCCTTACCATATTTTAAGAGTACAGGAATTACTTTCCATTGATTTTCCAAGGCGTGTGACCTTTTGTCAGTGGTATCGTCAAAAAATTACACAAAATCCGCAATTTGAATCAATGATTCTGTTCACGGACGAAGCTAATTTTTCTCGAAATGCCATTCAGAATTTCCACAATAATCATTTGTGGGCAGAAGAAAATCCCTATGCTGTAACCGAAACCCATTTCCAACACCAATTTTCGGTTAACGTATGGGCAGGAATTATTGGCAGACTTACCTCAATTTTCTTGATTAAGAAGTGCCTTTGATGCTTGTTGATGTTCCGTTAGTAATAAGGAACAATATGTGGTACATGCATGATGGTCCACCAGCGCATTTCAGTGTCGCAGTTCGTATTTATTTACAAACTGTTTATCCAAATCGTTGGATTGGCCGCGGTGGGCCCCAAGAATGACCACCAAGGTCCCCAGACCTGAACAGTTTAGATTTCTTTTTGTGTTTGTGTTACACTACTGTACACAAGTCCCATTAACACTGTAGAGGAATTAAGAGAAAGAATAGTTGCAGCTTGTTATAGAATAAAAAATACTCCAGGGATATTTCAACGAGTGCTCAGTTCCATGAGAAGGAGGGTGGAAGCATGCATACTAAGTGAAGGGGGCCATTATCAACAATTTTGATAATCATTTCGTTGTCTTAATGTTATTTTTATGTTGTCAGTTGTTGTTGTTCATTACCCCTAATGTGTTTAATTTTTCCAGTTAAATTAACAATAATTTTGCAAGTTAGACAGTATAACGGTTTTTATTTTTTTACTCAAAAATGGCGCATCGAAGGAAAACAATTCAAGAGAGATCATTTGTTTAAAATTGAACGAAGAATTCAAAAATAATTTTTATTTGGCAAAAAACCATTGGCGTACCATTTTTTCTAAAAGAATATCAACATCAGTGAAATATCTGAAGCGGTTCTGAAAATATTAATTAATTTCCATTTTTTTTCCTAAAACTTCAACAGCCCGAGTTTTTGTAAGAACACATTCTTGGACCATACTTTATAAAGCAAACTAACATTAATTTTTCATGTAGATTCAGATCCTAAAAAAATCGCATATCATTAAGGAACACCCTGTATAATACAATACGATTATATTATCTGTTAATTGTATGATTTTGCGAAGTTTTTCATATTCTCCATTACAATAGAGGCATTGGACGATTGGACGTACTAGCAATAAAAAGGCTGACTAATTTTGAGATCTCGGTTTTACTTACGACCGATATACAAACTACAGTTGCCTCACCATATACAGAGAAATCCATATGTATACCACTGACGTGGTGATGTGTACGAGAGAGAAGCGTGCAATGCGTATTCTAGAAAGAGATAGAAGCAAAACGTTGCTTATCAACCCGATAGAGGTCACTGACGCAGCTGCGGCTTGTCGCGTTGCTATCGGCGTATTCTATCTAACATGCGTATTGCACGCTTTTCGCGCTTCTCTCTCGTACACATTACCTCGTCAGCGATATTTGGATTTCACTGTATAGCGTATGTACTTAACTAACTAAAATGCACTGTTGGTCATTCTCTAGACTCATGCTGTATGTACATACAATATCACAGAATAATAATGCATAGTGTACAAGTGTAAGAGATGTCGTAGGGTGATCAATGTTTGATCAAGGAAGTCGGCTCTATACCTAGGCTAATCAGTGAAGGAAGATACTTTCTAGTAACCAGGAACTTCACGAATACGAAGTTTCACCCATAGACCTGTAACCAACTATAGTAAAATACCAAAATTGATGACAGTAGCGAAAATAATTGTACGCCACTGCTATTACGCGGTAAACGTCGCTGTAATCAAAAGGTACAGCGTCACAGCAGTGCCGCACGATGACTTCTGCTACTGTCATCAATTCGGGTATTTGACTATAATCTACAAATCTTTTCTATGATATTTATTCAAATGTCGTGACAGTTTTTCCAAGTATGCACTTTACATTGTTAATGGAAAGAACGGACAATATGAATTTGAAACACTATGAAGATAAACTCCTCATTACAAAGTTCAGACTTAATATTGCCGAATCTCTTGTGAACATTGGTATAGGAAGTCACTCTAAAATCGTCATACGTGGAACTTGTGTCAGAAGAATACAATTTCAGTTGAAACTATGGATAATTTCCAATAGCATCAATATGAGTTATTCTAGTGCTCTTTCACAAATAATGTTAAGATTTAACGTATGGCTACGATGGAGATCATGAAACTTCCACTCCTCCTTTCGAAATACACGTATTTTGTGGCTCATGAATGTTTTTGATAAACATTTTAGTATGTGAAGAAACAACAATAATATATTCGTACTTTTATATCGAAGGTGTTTCTTAAGTAGGATATATAATATTTATATAGTTTTAAAATTACAATTAATATACATTTGAGCCTCAAAGTATCTAATATTTTTGGAAATCAGAAAGCACTTTGTGCTCAAGGTTTCTTGTAGCACGAAATCTTGTCGCCCGTGTGTATCAGAAGTGATGTTTAAATAGTACATCAGAATTTCGCAAAACTCTTAACCTCTAAAACTCGTTATGGAAGGAAGCTTTTATGTCAAATAGTGCCTAGGCCTATAAGGACCAGGAGTATCAGAAAGGTTTATTGAGTATAACTCTTCATGAGGTCCCAAAAACTAACGTGAAGTATATATGTATGTCTATATTTAAATAAGACTAGATATTTTAAAAACTTCCAACTCTTATCGTAATGTCCTTCATTGATAAACCTCCATAACGTCTTATATACTACGAGTATATGAAGGTATTAAGACGTCGTTAATTTAGATCTTTTAGCACGGCTAAAAATGGAAGTATAGCTTCTTGAAAAAAAGAGCGTAACCACATGATACTTAAACCATACTTAAAAACCCTAGGTCAGGTAAATCCTCATTTGGTATGTTTCCGCGCTCAACAATCCGATCAAATGTTTTGGATCTCCAAGCTATTGTTCTAAAGGGGCTTAAAAGGAATCTGAATACACTGTAGTAGTATAGTTTTAGTAGAAGTAGTAGTAGTACTCTGTAGGCTATTTATAAAGGACTAGCTGACTCATACTTTCAGCTTCCTAAAATAGCCGCCACGGGGCGTAACTCTGACCTCAAAAATAGAAATATCTTTTTAGATAGTGTTAATGTTTTGTGGCCTATTTCGCTTACATGATTTTTTCGTAACTCTGTTGGTTTAGAGACGGGATTGGTTCAAGGTCACATCAGGAAAAGTAGTGTAACTTGATCTTGATCACATTTAAACGGATTGTGATGTGCCCTTCTAATGGAGGTTAATCTCTATCAGTTTAGCTTTTTCATCCGTTAGGTGGGTTTGAGTGACAAAATTGCGGTATTTTGGATTTTGTCAAGAATTTCAAATGAAGTGTTTCATTCATACCCTACAAATTGGAGAAAACCGTAGACAGCTACCTTCATCAGCTCCACGGAGCGCAAAAAGAATATCTAAGCTAACAAAACTTAACCTTCATTAGAAGCTCACAATTAAGCTCTTTTAAATGAGACCAAGAAATTAAATCCAACAACTTCATTTAGCCGCTTTTGTTTAATCTATGTCCCTAGGCTGACTGGTAGTCAAAATACAGCCGGCGTCCTTTATTAATGGCCCACCTGTAAGCCACTGCTGTTTTGTATATGTTTGCGCTAATATTCTTGTACTGAGCACCATCGCCTAGATCAGTGGCGTATCATGCGTCACGCGTGTCAAACTTGGTACCTCACTATAGAATGGATTTTAATCCGTATTGTTGCTCTGTATTCCAAATAATATGGAAAATATTTTCTATTATCAGTAGCTGTTATGCCTGTCATTCAACGTTTTCTTTGTATATTGTGTGTTTCTTTAGGCTAGCTTAGTTTTGAAGTAGATAGTTTTCATCAGCTTGCTTTCACCATACACTTATGCATCTTACTGTTTGTTTTTCACATTCACTGATCAATCATTACATAGGTAAAGTAGCTCCATTTATGTATTTAAGATGTTTGTTGAGGAAGTAACACTTTCTACCAGTCCACATCAAGTAGAACCTTTTTTAAATGATTCATAGTAACCTGCTTTGTAATGGGTATGGAAAATTGTGAACCCGACAATGGTCATTCGGTATTGTAGGACTATTCTGCTCGCTGCTTTTACAAACTTTATTCAATTTTCAATTCTAAATTTAATTACATAAAAATGGTAAATCTTGCATGTGGAGGTATGTTTTGCTGATTTTTCAAAGTATGTCTACCTGTTATTAGATAGATCTTTTTCATATACATTTCTGCAGTAATTACCATAAGTAGTAAAATCGTGTTTTCAAAATTTACATGTTGAAGTTTTTCGCAGCTTGACTTGGTTCTGAATTCTGAGGAAGGCGGAGATCTCTCTGACTTCATCACGAATGGAGAATGGTACTTATTGGGTAAGTGTAACTATATTAAGGTACTATAGTCCAGTTAAATAGCCGAAACTACAGCAAAAGTGATAATATGGCCACAAAGGTATGTCTGCTGGCGTAATGGTATAATAAAGTCTTTAAAAAATTGTCGTTAGAGTTTGGTTTTCCGGAAACCAGCCGTTCTTTGTAAATCAGCGAAAACCCAAAGAAACCTCTTTTTCGCTGAAACGGCTGAGCATATCTGGGAATTTTTCACACGTAGATTTTTCTAATTTTTGGGCCATCAAAAAAGGTTTTTGCAATTTTTTGCTAAATTGCGCTACAGCTGGCTGAGCGCTCGTTGGCCCGGGGCTTGCAGGGGCAAGGGCGGGCGTAAACATATCACCAGCCGCCGCATCGATGACGCGGACGATCCTCTTTTAAGATTTCGACGTCCTCAGTGTCTCACCCTCAGTGATAGGCCAGTCGATTTCGAATAATAAGCTCGTTTTTTCGTTTACCGATTTATGCATATTAATGAATATTTGAAATTTATGCGTTTAAGTAGAGTACAAGATGTAGTGATTTCTCTTCAGCTGCTTACCGATTGACTGCATAAGTGAGATTTGGATTTTCATTTAGAATTCGAACAACGACAAAAAACCTAGAGCTGCAAAAAAGGTGTGAACGTGTATTTAGGGTGTTAGGGAAATATTATTCGTAACTTTAAGAGGCGATTCCTTGCATTATTCTAAGCAGAAAAGTTCATTATAACTTATGTCCGAAAATCAATCGTTTTTCGTGAATAATTGAATTTCCTCAAGCATTTGGCAATGCTGCAACAAAACCCCGATACGAGCGCACGACGACCGTAACTAATTCAACGAATTGTTTACGTTTGTTTTTGTTGAAAATATGCCTCGAATTATTGAATACTTTTTCGCAATTTTTTGTGGCTAATATTTTTTATTTAATAACGGTTTCAGTACAGTACATTTACTTAAAAAAATGACAGAACTTACCGGTACGTGGCGATACACACCACCAATTCTCACGATTCTCAGTCACTTATTTGAAACGATGCGATGCACGAAAAAAGAAAAAAACAACATCCGTAAATCACATAAAGTTACAGTCAAATGTATTAGTAATCACAACAACACGCGATGATACATGCAGTGAAGGCGGAGTACGACGTTGCTAGTTGTATGAGGGATTTTGTTTGTCTGTTTTTCTTCGTAAAATTGTATTTAATAAGCAAGAAAATTAATTTGTTAGAAACAGTTAATTAATAAATAGATATATTGATACATTTTACGCTACTAGGCATATGAATTTGAATTATTAAGGTGCAAAATTAATTTATTTCATGACGAAAAAGAAATAAGTTTTACTTTGCTCCGAAACGGTTGATTTTCGGACACAGGTTATAATGCAATTTTTTGCTTAGAATAATGCAAGGAATCGCCTCTTAAAGTTACGAATATTATTTCCCTAACACCCTGTACAAATGAGTGGCAATGAGCAGAAAACATTACAGGATGTGGAACCCAATGAGTCATCAAAAGACTCGTTTTCGAGGCTCCACGTTATTTTCTTAATCATCATCGCAAAGCAGTTTGATCACTGGTAGTTGTTGATCTACGAGCATGATAAGAGATTTAGCAGTTCTTGAGCCGCGTCTATACGCTGGGCTAACATACACCAACGCAAATATGTAAAGAACAGACAATGACCGATGGTGACGAGCATTTGACGATGTCTCTCCGCACACTCGCTGTGGAATCCAATAACAATGCTCATTGGTCTAGTCCTAGGTCCTAGTCTCAATGTGTCGGTGTACGTTAACTTGACGTGTAGAGACGGCAGTATGCTCTGCTGTAGAACTTATCAGCACAGGACTTCGCCCCTTTTTTGTGCGGCTCAGGGATTTTTTGCGTTTTCAATTGATAATGGAAGGACTATAAGTATGTGTGTACATTTCAGAGTTGAAATTAAACATTATTTCCTTATATTCAACTGAACTATTACTGAATAATCCCCACCATGAGATCGTTTGTGTCGTCAACGCTTGGACGGTACGGTGACAGGTTGGTGGTATGCAGGTATGCAGGTACGCTCGCCCTTACCCTCGCAAGCCCCTCTCGAACAAGCTATCAGCACGCGTAGCGCGAAAGCCACGCAATTTAGCAAAAAAAATGTAAATACCTTTTTTGATGGCCCAAAAATTAAAAAAAATTACGTGTGAAAAAATCCCAGATATCCTCAGCCGTTTCAGCGAAAAAGAGGTTGTTTAGGTTTTTCGCTGTTTTACAAAAAACGGCTGGTTATATGTATACAGGGTGACTTTGAAGTTGAGTCATTAATTTTCAGATAATGATTGTAGAAGGAAGATAAACCAAAATATGTGTGTAAAAATAAAAAGAAAATAAAAAAAAATGTTTACCTTGTTTTATAAAGTATCCTCCCGACAAGTATTTCAGTGCGGACCTGTATTTGATCGTGAGGTCCCCTGTGAGGTCTTAAGTCACCTGATTCACGAGCCCGTTGTACTACATTAACAAAGGCACGAGGGGTTGGTTGCACTCGATTGGGAAACCGATCCGCATAAACATGTGCCATTTTTTATTTCGTTTGAGCCACGCAACAGATACCACTATTCACTGACACTGACTGTATACAAATGAATGAAATAATTGTAAAAACATCGTTCCAAATTCTTTCGCTTTTTTGTTTCCGATGCGATGAACCGATACGGCGGATTATATCCGTTGTCCCCAAAAACGAGCACATAATATTATTATTGAGACAGGGCGGTAACTCAAACTTCCAAAGGGCTATAACTTTGTTACTTTAATTTTACCAGAAAAATGGTAAAGGAAAAAAACATTTCTTTTGATCAGATCTGCTCACTGTTAAAATAAATGACTCAACTTCGAAGTCACCCTGTATAAGTAAATAACTTTGTGGCTATGTTCACTCTTGCGGTAGCTTCTGCTATTTAACTGGACTACTACTTCTCAATTTTTTCTGGTTTTTTGTTGCGGTAAGGAAACCAGTTCAACTTAAACAAATTTCTAGAAGCACCGCAAGTGATTTCACGTACATTATGAATGGAACACCCTGTACACTATTGCATTTTACATCCAGTGCTCCATTGAAGAAAACGCTTGTTGAATACATTTACTCTCCCGCTACTTTTGTTTACTTTCCAACGAGAAAATTAGACATGGTTAGAACAGGACTAACAATGAGAGATCGTCAGGATCGGAATAGGAATTTCAAACGAAAAATTCCAGTGAGTAGGTGCTGGCCTCCCAACTCATGGCACAACGGCATTTCATTAAATGAGTTTTAGTTCATGAGAAATTAGAATGCCAGTGGGAGTCAAATGAGTTTAAAAGTACTGGTATTCCGATTTTTTAATGTGTACTTGGTTCACAAAAGCCGCATTTTGCTTTTTGTTCAATATTTTATTGCGTATAATTTGTTAAGCTTCATAATTTCGTATGCAGTTATGAATAAAATTTACCTGCTTTTTTGAGTTATCAATAGCTTACTATACGTCAATAACTCGTGCTATGATCATTTTTCAAATAGTTGATAGGAAATGCATCACATTCACATTTAGAAATATGTTTTTTTTATTTCGAATAATTTTTACCTAAACCTCACACTATTTGCGAGAAGATAGTAACAATTAATGGTGAAATACAGAATGTAGATTAATGACATCGGATTGTGAGGTTATTTGCCTTTGTTCTCCTAATAGACTTGCATTCCTTTTATATACTGAGTGACAAAAAAAGGTAAACACCTACGTATGTTTATCCGATTTTAATAATTTCTGGCAAACGTGTTCAGTGTCCCTTACTAGTAAAATGATTGAATTTTCAGCTTGATTCGTCAACTGGCTTCAGAAGCTGGTTCAATAATGTATTAAGGAATTAGGAATTTTCCTTTAAAAAGTTTACACAAGCATATTTAGGTTTTTAACTCTCACGAAGTAACAAGTTGTGATGTCACAGCAGACCATGTGCAAAACTAAACTGTACACACATGTAGAATACTACTTCGTCTTAGTTCACAACTTTTTGATATTACTAAAAGATGCTGCTACAAAGATACAAAGTTACACCACTGTCTCAAATTAGGCGCTTGTCTCAAATTTGGTTTCTTTCCTCTAACTCAATTATATGTGATTTGCGATAGACTTAACCGAACAACGAACGATATTTAAAAATATGTATAATGAAACTTACTCTTTTATAACAGAAGCATCCATGGTAAGAACTTGCTCTCTGCATAGTGCCCCACTTTGTTTCGCACTTCGTTTCAAAATTGTCAGTACATTATTTTCATTCTACATAAGAAATTATGGAACTTGGCAAAACATGAATAATAATAACGTGTCCTGAAAGTTGGGTCTTTCCTTTTCATAAACAACTACGTTTGTAATAACAAGGCTAATCAATGTATGGAAAACATCAGCGAAAAGGTGAAAAAAAAATATTGGAAAAGTACTGGCCGTTTATCGAAAATAGATTTCAAGTACAGCTCTGTCACTTGTAAATATCGTTCAAGGTTGCTTGCGATATAAGACACATGTATGTACTCGAGCATCAGTGCAGCTTTTTGAAATGAACTGCCTTTAACATATGAATGTAGCAGATTACTAAGTTTGCACACGTAGTTTGTCAATCGTGTTCACCTCACTTTTATCACTAAATATTTCATTTCGCTCCAAATAGAAAAGAAATCACCAAGTGTCTTGAAAAACGATCTGCATGTACTCGCGAAGCCTCGGTAGCAGTTCGAAGACACTGTAAATTAAAATAACATAGACAGCTCCGATATTGCTGTATGAGTGTGCCATTTTTGTTTTGTTTTTTAGAACCGACTTGTAAAGGTTTTGTTTACCAACGCAGCCAGCGCCTGGATTAAGTAGTGATGTGCGTCGTACATGTTTACGTTTGATCTGATCAAGCTGCAGGACTGGATTAGGTTTTGATTTGTTTTGTCTAACATCTCGGTAGTCGTAAGAC